CGAAAATACTTAAAAGCAGGTAGAATGCCACACAATGACAACAAAAAGGCACTGAAGTTGGACAGAGCAGCAGCCTCTAGAAATCTAACGGCTGTCCAGAGGACGCACCATGCTCCACAGTTGCGTCCACTACACTAGTCCATGAAAGCATTAACTACACACGTGCACACTAATGTCGCATACAATAACTCCACCTTTCTCACTGCTTTGCAAAGCATCAAACAGCAGAAATGGCAAAATCGCATCTTCCCATGTCGATCGAAGATTCGACAATCTCGCTCATGTCGATCCCCAACATCCCCCATGCTAGGCACCTCAACCTGGCAAAGTGAAACGTGGTGAAACATTTTCGGACATGTTCACTTCGTCGAATACATGAGCAAACTGGACATGAACGCAATGAAGTGAATCAAGCAAGCGAATGCACTTGACAAAGTCTGTCTTCTCACCAGATAGCCACACAACTGATAGGCAAAAAATGAGAAAATGATACCAGAATTAGGCACCCATCCTTCATTTACGACGACTGCAAGATTATTCATTAGAGTGGAAGAGAAGCAGACGCTGTGCTTGGGATTCGCGGAATAGTGTGCTGCCCAGTGTTGCTCCCATCACAACACGGTAAAGGCCTCGAAACCCACCCACAAGCCAGCAAAAGAAGCCGATCCTCTGCTAACTTCCCACTAGGGCGAGAAGATATTTTATCACAACACCCAACTCCATGTAATCACCTGATAGCAATGGGAGGATTCGACAGTGCGACGCACCTCAAGTCGCCGAAGTTCTGCGACCCTGATTCAGACCGTTGGCATCACCTAAGTGAAGTTTATGGTGTGGTGTGCCCCAGCGAAGGCGCACTTCCAACACCCTCCATCTGTCCCAATGGCGACTTCTATTTGCGCTGACTCACAACGGGTCCTCAGGCTCCGTCAGCCTCCACCACGGTCACCATCTTCGATGTAGCCCACCGCAATGGCTCCAGCACACCCAACATTGACCGGACGTTGAGGTAACTTCACAATATAGTCACCGTCCTGGTGTGTACACCAGTATATTCTAACGTCTGCTCCATCTCCTACCCCATCATAAATTAAAACAATACATTACTATCAAACGTGCCTGCATAAGTACAGATCTGGTTTCAAAGGCAAGTGGATAGAATTGTCATTGGCACAATCAGAATATCACTTTAATTACTAGCAAAATACGCAGTATGGTGTTGTATTGTTCGGTATGAGTGTTATTTCGCAATACCTGACATTATGATCCACTCCCACTTTCACATAGGCGCCGACAGTGTGAATGGCATAAAGTACGTCCAACAATCCCATTAATGTCTCCAATGATTATACAAGTTTGTAACAAACTAATCGGCTGGGATTAACTAAAAGAAAATACTTGGAAAGTCAGAGACTGGGAAACGGGAATATACTACTTTAGATGTGCAGGCAGTCCGGCGATTCCCCCAGACACACGCACACATCCTCCCCCAATATGCATTTCACCTAGACTCTAGCTAGCAATGACTGCCCTAATGCTTACCACCCGCGGTTTACAACATAGTAATGATTTGTTGCAAAACGGACATCCGGAGGATGATTATTCACATACCATATCATTCCTCGTACGCAATCAAGCAGCCAGCTATTTTGGAAAAGATACTCCCCCATCAATACAAATAGTATAGGAAATCCGACCCATCACGTGCGTGCGGGTAGACGGTTCGAGCTCGACCACGGACTGCGGCTCAGACAGCAGCGCTTCAAGAATCCAAACTCGACTTGAAACAAAGGTGAACTGCACAAAATACTGACAAATACCACCTCATGACCAAAGGCAGTGACTCAACAACCACGACCCTCCTACCATCTGGGCCGCGTGACTCACTATCACTATACATCTCCCTCGGCATCTCACCCACAAGTCATCTAGCGTGACATGAGACCCACTACAATAAGTACCTGCTCCCAACTGCAGTGAACGAGATCCAGTATAACCCAGTACAGAAATGGCCTCCCACTTGTCATATCCTCATAGGCCAACGCAAAATCAATGGGCAGAAGTGAACCATGTACGTACAAACAGATACTCTCTACGCAAATATAGTTGCACATTCAGCACGCACTCAGTGGTGACTCTGGGTCAACAAATGACTAGGGGTGCATAGTGGAGCAAAAGATTAGCCAACGATGTCAAGTCACACGTAAACCAATTTCATGGCGACCATAAAGTGTGCAAGAAATACTCCCAAAAGTGAACAGACAATTCTCCACTCCACTCGTTAAACAAGTTGCAGAAAAGACTGCATAGCCTCAAAACGTGTCACAACTAGGAAGTGCACAAATTTCCACACTAAAGTTGACGTGAATTTTTACACAGAGAACACGTTAACAGAAGTTATCATCAATTAGCCACCTCGTAGCACTAGCACCGTATTAGGAGTAAAAACTAGTGCTAGTAAAACAGCCAGGCTGGCATCTTTATTTCTTACTTCTAAAGAAGCGCATCAGATTCCAAGAGGCGAAATAATACACACTAATTTGGCCCGAAACTTACCAAACGCAAGCTAACAATGCGCACACCGATTTGAATAAGGCACAACCGCATGACCAAGGATGCAGAAAACGTTTGAAGTTAGCAGTCGTAAAAGTAGTAAAAAGCCTTTTAGTAAAG